TTCATTAATTTTTGAAATTGAAACCTTTTTTTCCTTTTTTCCTTTTTCCCTTTTTTTTTTTTTTTGTTAAAAATAAAAAGGGGAAAAAGTAGTAAATAATTGGAGAGAGAGAGAGAGATAGAGATATGGGGCAGGGGAAAGCTTTTTAGATGAGATACCAATGTGAGGAAAATTATTATTATCGTTGAAAAAAAAAAACCAAAAGTTTTATTTGCGGAAGGAAAATTGTAAAAATGTTAATAAAAAGAGGAGAGAGAGAAAGAGAGATAGAAAGAGATAGAGAGAGAGAGAGAGTGAATTAAAAATAATTAAATAAATTGATGAAAAATTATCTCGACTAAGTAGTAATAAGTCAAATGATTACGTCACACTCAAATTTGGGGGGCAGGCGGGGGGGGGGAAACAAACAAGACAAATTTATTTGAAAAGCATTAAAAGTGATGTTACGATTCAAAAGTTGGTTACATTGCTTATTATTATTATTATTATTAATTGAATATGTAATAATGTAAATAAATTATTTGTATTTATTTTAAATTTAAAAAAAAAAAAAAAAAGTCACGAAGACGTTCTAAAGCGAGTAAAGTGTTTGTTTGAGTTGCCATGAGAGAGGGAGAGAGAGAGAGAGAGGGAGAGGAGTTAAAAAAGAAAATTATTATTATTATTTTTTTAAATGCCAAAAGGTAAATTTGTAAATGGTAGAATTTTTCATTCGTCAAAATGATGACGATGACGATGATGATGATGATGTTGTTGTTGTTGTTGTTCATTAAAAATTGATTAGAAGATGCCGCAACATAATAGAAATTAACTTTGGGGATTTTTTTTTTTTTTTTTTTTTTTTTTTTTTTTTTTTTTTTTAAAAAATTTGACAATTTCCCCAGGGATTTTTATTTTTTTTTTTATTTTAAAAAAATTTTTTTTGTTTTGCCTTTTTTTTTGACAAGGAAAAAGGGAAAAATGTCCAAATTATTTTTCCCCCCCTTTGCAAAAATGTTTTTAAGGGAAACAATTTTGGGGGGGGGTTTCTGGGAGGGGGAAAGTTGGAAAAAAGTTTTTTTTTTTTTTTTTTTTTTTTGGAAAACCCTTAATTACCAACCAAAAAACTTTTTCCTTCC